TTTTGCTTATACCGCTCGATTCAGACTCATTTTCTGAATCGATCTAAGCATGTCTCTCTGTGTGTTCGTCTCATGTCTGTCCATGTATTGTTGTGTTCGAGCTAAGTCGACATTTTCAAGATATTTTGATGAAATTTGTTACACTGACGCACGCTATTGAAAATGGTTCGGATCGGACCACCTTTTCGAATACACCTCATGTAACGCGTTACTTTTATAAGTCATTTTAAGAAAAGCAATTTCCATATTTAGAATGTCGGGATAAAAATCACTTAGTAATAAGTATTTAGGCTCTGTAAAAAAGTGTGAAAACTTTGGATCAGATGGGATAATTTTTTGAACTCTTTGCCACATTCCCATTTCCAAAGGAACTGAACCTTCTTATGGTGAAAAGGCCCGCTTTCCAATACTTCGTGATAAAACTCGCTTGAAATAATAATTTGACACACAAATGAACCTTATCAAATTTGATGTATTTTTTGGGTCCCAACCTGTAAACGGATTCTAATGAATAATAAAGTTTTAGATGCCAAAAAGAGGTTAATTTTTAGTAGTTTATGAGGTAAATTTGTCTTTAGTAAATTAGCCATAGGCGAATTTGGATCACTTTGGACCGCACCATATATAGGGACTCTCATGACACCAAACCTTTATATGGCAGCAAAGTCTAATTTGGGGTATGCTTTGATGGAAGCAACTGGAAAATAATTAAATCTGTGACGCGTAAATTAAGTTAAGTTATACTAACATTTGAGTATCCTCCAAAGTCCTCCAGGACTTTCATCAAAATTATTCACTGACATAAAAATAATATATAATTTTTGGTTAATTAAGAGAAGTGATGTCGGATATCTAATTGTTGGCCTTCTTATGTATTTCGGCTGTTGGCCTTATCCCTTTAGCGAAAACGAACTATCAGACCTTGGCCGCCAGAAGAAAACGTGAGAAAAAGAAAAATTTCAAATATTGTTGTAAGTAATTCACCAATAGCCGGTGAAGATGTAATGCCAGCTCTTAAGCCCCGAGTATAGGCCTTGTTTTCGAATTTATTTAGAAGATAGCACTTAATAAGAAGGTGCACAAAAATGATGTTTTTTTAATTACTTGTCGAAGAAATTACTTGGGTTTAAAAAATCTCCTTAGCGGTATTTCTAACGCATCTCAAACATACCTTAAATGTTGATCGATTAAATCAAAATTTCATAATATTATACTTTACTGGAATAATTTCAAAATTCTCAAAAAACTCTATTAAGGATCGATCGTAATGCTTGTTAAAAAGACACAATTAAAGAAATCCCAAATATTTCTACAGGGCATCTTACTAAGATACATTTGAAATTTTGTGAGCATTCAGTTGAGATCACGTTTATTACTTTTTAACTTTTATGCTTTAATGTTTATCTTTAAAATGTGATATAGCAATAGACCAGACCAGATTATACTTATATGATATATTGGTAAATACGTACTTACTTTACGAGACAACCACTTATAGCATATTTTTTAAGTGGTCAAAGATGAATAAATAATAAATTTTTTGTATTCATATTTAAGTGAATTGAGAGGGAAGTGATTACTTAAAAAAATTTCATATCAGTCGCAAAAGAAAAAGATTTTTTTTTTTTGTTTTTTTTTTTTTAATACTATATCAAGAGAAAGAAATCACTATTTTTCTATCCGAATATAAGTAGACGCAAGAAGCCGCTCAGAAGCGACTTTGAACACGCGCACTTGCATACAATAGTAAACATTATAATCATAAAAGAAAAAGCATTAATAAAAGCCACAAAGAACAGCATTATGTAGCTTGAACTCATAAAGCAACATACAGTCCGCAATCACTAAAAGTGTGCATTTGTCTATTCGAATAGAACGTATAGAACGTGAAATCTAAAACACTTGTTAATCGAGCTTAACTGACAAATGAACTGTAGCAGATGGATAGATGCAAGTAAAGTAAAGTCAAGTAAAGTAAAGCGAAATGAAACTAACATAGTACGGTCAGCGCTATGGCGGCAAGAGATGTAAAAAATAAATGCAATCGTTTGCTTCCTTATTTAATTTTCAAATCATATAAGAAGATTCTACTACTTTGACTGTCTGTCTGTCTGTCTGTCTGTCTGTCTGTCTATCTATCTATCTGTTCCCATCTTCTTTTTCATTCAAGATGCAAAATTCAAGAAAGAAAATGCAAGTATCTGCAAGCAATGTTTTAGACGATTGTCTTTACTATTTTTTGTTACACGGACAGTTAAGCAAATCTAAGATCTTTGTTGCTTTTTTTTTTTTAAAGTTGTTTTAAAAAAAATTATTATTAAAATCATAAAAAAGAAAAATAACTCTCAAGAGCAATAATAATAATAATGTTGGATACTTTCAAGTGTTTGCTTTTGATATTTCTTTCTTCTTCTAGAAGGCTAATTGAAACTTTCATTTCATTTCAGAACAAAGACAAAGATATAGAAAATAGGCGTAATTACCACTCAGACGCTTAACCAAACAGCTTGTGCTAATAACAGCAAAAGAAGATTAAATACAAAGAAGTAGAAATTCTTGATATTTAGAGAAAAAAAAAAAAAAAAAAAAAAAAAAAAAAAACAAAAAAAAGAAACACGTTTCAGACATGTATGCGGCTGTTTAATAGAATAGATGGAGAATAATTAAAAACACAAACACTTGTTTGTTGCCTAAGAAGAACAAATAAATGCATTTTACTAAACTAAACTAAATATATGCTTAAGATATGAAAATTATTATTATTATAAACTCACATGTGATTAAAATCATTAAACTGAGCCATTACAACAGATTACACACATAAATCAAATATAAAATGTGTACCCAAAAAAAAAAAACAAACAAACAAAAAAAAAAAAAAAGAAAGTAATATACAGGGTTCAACAAGAAGCCTTTTAGATGATTTTTTGTCTAAAATTATCTATGTATATGTATTTCTCCCATAAGCGTTATAAGTAGAAATATTCGAGACTTGCATTCCTTATTTATATTGCGTTTACAGTGAAATTAAGAAAAAATTATAAAACCGAATAGAAACACTATAGTGGGCTATGACGAACCATTAAATACTCTACATCGCCCTACCAAATATCACAAAAGTTGCAATCTACAGATTGAATAGAGGAAAAAGAAGACGGACGGACAGACAGACAAACGGATCGACAAGTTTAGATAGATTCAGAAAGTCATTTTCAATCGATCGGTTTTAATATAAAATGGGCCTTCCCCGTGTTGCTCTGGATGTTGCATACATCCGCACAAATTTAATGTGCCATTTTACCCCAAGTAGGTGGTGTAGGGTGTGAAAACATCAAAATGAAATCAAGAAAAATCGTAATTTCAGTGAAATTATGACGAAATCCATTCTATCAGAATTGAAAGAAGAGACTTGACTTCTACGCGATTTATTTTTTAAGCTCCTTAATCCATATAACTAACTTTATTATTTTAATGCAATTAAAAAAAAAAAAAAACGACTTCAAATGAAATGAATTTAATGAAATCATTGAAATCAGCCCTCGTTTAACCGAAGGTGGTGAGATCCAATATCGATTTTCTATCTCACTTTTCGGAGATTTTGAAAAATTTTAAAATCAGAAAATTGGGGGGGCGAAGATGATCGAAGCGTCTTACAAGCTTTCAAATGCTGATCAAATGCAGACTTATAAGATTTTCGACGTGTAACAGAACTTCTGAATCAATCAAGAAAGCAGAAAGTAGTTTATGATGTCATCAGTAAGAAACACTAGTTATACGTTATGTATGAGTGATCGCGAGGCATTTGTTCAGCAAAGTTTAGTCAAGAGGAATTTGATATACGAATAATATGAAGTTGTTGCAAAACGGCTTATGCTAATCACAAGATAATTTAGTCAGCTGTTTCTCATTAGCAGCCATCATCTTTAAATTTCCCCTTCAGCTTAATCCACTTATCTTATGCGGAAGCTTAGTATTTCATTCGTGAACTAGCATGCAACAAAGTTCCTTCTACGAAAAGTCGAAACGGAAACTAAGACTTTTGGACTTAAGGAATGTAAAAGCGAGGAGAAGTGAAGAATTTACCATAGGTTCTAAAGCACAATTTTAAATGGAGATCAAATGGTAATAAATGAAAATTAATGATATGTGAGTAGAAAAGCATTTACCCATCTTTCAAGACACGAATGATAACCAAATCTTGGCACTCAATTACCGATGTCAACGGAGGAAGGTTTGCCAGAGCTTGAAAAATTTTTAGGATTAATAAATATGCGATAATTTTTAGAAGAGTCAACGGAAGGCAGCAGCTCTATTAACTGATTTTAAAAACTATTCTGCTTTTTATCCCTCTTTTGATCCTTAAGATGCTTAAAATCTCTTATAACATACATCCATTCATCGTACTTGTCTAGTCCAGTTTGAAAAAGTGGAGCTAAGTTTTGCTATTTTACATCGGCAAAATGGGCTTAGATAGGTTTTTGAAATATTTATTTTGAAGATTCTATAGAATCTATATAGGATGGGTTAGGACTGTTAATGAAACCATATTGATCCGGTCGGTCCATTTGTCTGCCAGTTAAATTCGTGACCGCGATCCTAAAACGTTCTCTGTAATGTCCAATACGGTCTTTCCGTAGGTTTTTAAATCTTAAAATTAGAAATCTGGTTTTCAATGTTGTTACGTTTAGACATTATATAGAACGGTTAGAAAATTACTTCTTAGATATGTTAAATGTAACTGGAAATATTATCTTGATGATCTGTTACAGAGATTTAGGCGATAGAAGAAGATGCCTATGTGCTTTATAAAAATTATGCTTAGATTTGCAGGCATAGCATGTTACGCTTACAATGGCTGTTACTTTTCTCTACGTTCGCCTTTAGTAAATCTCTTTTTACTCTCAATTAAGTAATGAATATAAACGGATTCCATTTAAAGCGAATGCTAAACATTCTTTAAAGTCAGGCGATAAAAAGTCATATATATATATATATATAAACACATATATGTACCATAGTATATTTCTAAAATTAATATAAATTCTAATAAGAAAAAAATCCCTTTTTCTGCTTTGTAAGACTCTGTATATTAAAACATACCGTGCCATATATAATTATGGTGCATGATTGCATTCGTTCTGTCCATGTGCGAATATCTTCCTGTTTTCTCCCTGGGTTGCTCTTATTCCATTAATCAAATTAAAAGCCATTAAAACGAAACTGAAATTGAAACTGTTAAATGCTATATTGAATTACTTCCATACATTAAGTATACAGTGAAATATTTTTATTTATTTTTGTCCGTCCGTTCGTCCGTCCATCCGTCTGTTGGTTCGTTCATCTCTCGTTGCGTTTTTGTTGATTTTGTAAATCTCCAAACTTCAGCTAACCGCATGAAAGTGGATTTTTTTGTTTTTTTTTTTTTCTTTGCTTTCGCAAATTAAACCTAATAACGCCCCCTGAGGAGAATTGAAACAATTTTGTGTTATTAATCCTCTTATTTTTTCCCCTCTGTTGCATTACATTTATTTTGCAATGTACGAGACATTTCTTCTTTTTTTTTTTTTTTTTTTTTTTTTTTCATTTTTTCAACTTTAAATATATAGCTCATCTCTGTATTTATATATTCAGGAACATCAGTTGTGGCCAGTAAAACAAAAGCAAACAAACAAACTAAACCAAAACCAAACCAAACCATAGCAAACGAAAACCTAACCGAAACTTTCAATGTCTTTCTATGCCACTATGTTTGATTTAAAACTCTTGCAACTACTTTAAAACGTGCGCAGTTTGCCTTTTCGCTCGCTTACAATCGTACACAAACAAACACACACACATACACATCACATTCGTAACAAATATGCTTCCGGGGAAAGGTATGGTATGCACATGCATACAATATATTGTATATACGACAGAATGCACATTAAATGTAATGTAAACTGTCTCCTCTTTCCAGCAATTGTCTTGTAAAACATTTATTACTGATCATTTGATCGGTTGTGTCGGTTTGGTGTTGGACAGTTTAAATTGTGCTTTAATTGTTTTTAATTCCTGTTCATTTCGTATCTTGCTACTAAATATGTGTATATGTAGGTACGAGTGATTGTTTACGTGCATGCACACATATATATATATATATATATATTTATCGCATTTTGTGCACATATACGTCTGTGTAAACACATTATATGGTATAAATGCTGTCATTTCTTTAAATAAAATGAAGAAAAGTATATTCGCCTCGGGCTGCATTAAGGATACGCGCAACTTGAAGCGTTTAATTAAAAATGAAAACAAAAAAAAAAAAACATATGGCGAATTTAAGGCGTGTCAACTAAGCGATCAATTCCTGGGTGGCACTGCAAACTTTCCATAATTAATTTCGAAAACTAACAGAAATCGCAAAAGACAGTTTGTTGCCCGCCGCGGATATGATTTGCCGTCTGGCTACACTGGTAAAAATTAACACTTAATTTTGATATTTGTAAAGGATTCTATATCCTATATGCCCTATCCTATACACGACAGACATCGAACTCAATTTTCCAGCTTTGCGTCTTCATGGAAGTTGTAAAAAGCGCCGTCACATGGTCTAATTGCTTATGTATTTAATTATATTATGGACTTTATGTGGCGTATTTTTGGCGTGTTACAAGCCGCGCCACGAACTTAGTCTATACCAGATATATAGTAAACGTGTAGTAACCGTTCGTTGAAACATACAGAAAACGGTAACAAAATTGTTGTCATTGCTTTCTTTTTTCCTTTTTTCTTTTTTTTTTTTTCTTTATTTTTCTTTTTAAACTGAACAACACAACACGTACATATAATAGGATCTTAAGATCTTAAATTACAGAAAACAATTTTTCAATCATTTAGTTTTACTGTGGTGTATCGCTTCAATCCAATCAATCAAGTGATTCGTTTTTTTATTTATAATGCATAATAAAAACTTATGAAAGCATTTTTTTATTTTTTTTTTTTTTTTTTTTTTTTTTTGCATTTTTCGAAAGCTGTCAAGACAATACCACACTTATGTAAACGACTACAGGCTGATTAGTGTAAAAGGAAATCAATGAATATACGCTTCTCCGGCTCTTTATTTTATATTATCTCCATCAAGCATTTGCCGGATTCAATGGCGAAATTACCAGCAGGCATAGGAAAGAGAAAAGACAAGACATCTCACAATAATCAGTAAAATCTGAGATATTTTTTATATATATATATATATTACGGCTAATAAAACTTTCATATGCTTTCATTTCTTTGATTTGATTATTCGTACACTTTAAGAATAAGAATAAGAAAAGTCATTGCATGTTATGTATATTATGTGTTATGCATTCGCAATCTATTCAATAAAGAATAGCAAGTAAGTGTGATAGAAAGACATTGTCAATAAATTGGAACCTATTGTCCCCCAATTTTAATAATATAACAATGCAGATATGATAACTAGGCATACAAGTGCTATACAAACTAAAAAGATTCGTTCAATTAACTTAACAAATAAAAAATGCTTTCATTTCTTAACTGCAAATCCAATGTGTGATGCCGTTTGAGTCTATAATTTTTAGAACACCATGAACGACTCTATTACAAACAAGCCCTTGATATTTTTGTAATGATTCAACTCTGAAGTTACTTACTGTTCTCCGCAATTATATGCGATACGTCGAAATAGTTTGAATAATGATCTAATCATTTTTTTGAATCAATCTGCGATTCTAGGCGAATAGGCCAATAGAAACCTCTGCTACTTTCACGACAATCTTTAGTTAAGATTTAAGTCGAAGGTTTACACTATCAGCAGCAAAAGCCACCACCAGCCACCACCAGGGCGGGTTGTGCACGACGGCGGGCAAAAATTTTTGTATGGATATTTGTATGTTAACCTATTAGGTCTTACGTCGCTTATTTTCAAAAGCGTGAAATTAGGTTCATTCGCAAAAAAGAGACAAAAATTATATGCCTACACTTCTTTTAAGCCTCAAATAGTGGTCACGGAATGCGATAACGTGTTCTTATTTGAATTAAACTAGCTTTCTCTCTGCTTAAGCTGACATAGCATGTTACGCTCACATTGAAGGTATTTATTTCTCTAAAGCGAACTTATACGATGTCTTCAATGCCTTGTTTGAATTTTGATGAAACTTCTATTATTTTGTTTGCTGGTACAAGGTTGTCCCACGAATCAACCTTTCACTAGACAAACGAATTTTTTCTTTTTTTACTGTGCAAGAATTTTATTGATTTTCTCGTTCGTTTGACAGCTATGACAAAAGTATTTTGAAAAATTCATTACTATTAACGGAATTGTCAAATCGTTTCAAAAGAATTTATAAACTCTTGTGAAATCATTTAAATATAGATAATGTTTGCCTTAAATTTGCTGAAACGTGGACCTAGAATATATCAGACAAGTGAGTATAAATCATAGGAATTAAATCATAAAAGGAGATGCGTTGGCGAATGAAAAACTTCCGCTCTCATGATTGCAGACTATATGAATACACGTAACAATCAGTTTAAGGCCAAGTTCAAGGACGGCGGCGAATGGCCGACATTCAATGATTGCCCGGTACCCTCTGGTTCGTGGAAAAAAGATTACGATAGTCATCAAAAGCTTTATAACGGTGTATTAATAAGTGGCTTGTTAGCTTCGATTGGTGCCGCAGTTCTTGTAAGCTTTTAAGCGTATTCGAACTTAAAACTTGAAAGGGAATTTAAATAAGATTTTCGATCTCACTTTCAGATGGGGGTGTGCGTCAATTTCAATTTCATTATGCCTGAATATCCTTATAAAGAAGAAAAAGACGAGGAAGAAGGTGGCGGTGAAGGAGAGGGTGAAGGAGAAGGAGAAGAAGGATAGGGAGAATAACATTGTGCGGCTAATAACAATTAATTATTCTTAGATATATGTGGACATTTTATGCACGCAAAAATCGATTTTAATATCTTTGCTTGTACTCACTTATAGTTTTAATGGTTTTAAATAAATTGTCTAAAGAACATCTAGAAGAAATTGTTAGGTTAGGTGTATATCCCGTGCTAAGAACGAAAGAATTTTGAGTGCGAATGTAAAGAAAAGTAAAGTCCTTAGCTAAAATGTTAAGTACTTCTTACGGACCAGCTTTTCTTCTCTTGCAACCGATCGAATTTTAACTTTTTTATTTTATTTGTGAGATGAGTCCACGAGGCAACTTTAATAACAACGCTTATGAAGCGGCCGTTTTGGTAAGGGTCAATCTCGAGTGCTTCGGTGAAGCATAGCTTAGGAAGTTTTGTTCTAAAAGGATGTTCGAGTAAAAACATTTTCAAATTAATTGCTCGTCACTGGGAAATTTGGGACAGAAATCTGTTCTGTTTTATTTTTATTTTTTTATCATTGTCTTCAGTTTATTAACTTTATGAAAGAGTTTGAAGAGAAAGATGGGTAGGCTCCAGCCTCTTGCAAAAACAGCTGACAGCATTATAGTCGCTCGGGAAAGTTCTGAAAATTGTTTATCAATCTGAAAGGAATGCTTTGCATAGGACTTGAAACTTAATATAAACAATTTATAGGAGACGAAAAAGCATCTTTCCTCCTTTCACTTATCTGTTTACATAATTAAAAATAATAAAATAAATCTAATACATATTTCACTTGCTCGTATGATGAGAATAAAAACAAATAACCAGAAATGCTATTTCTGTAGAGTGGGTTAGAGGCCCTGGAGCTGAAGCTAAAATTAATTTGGTATATCTACCTATCTACCCATCTAAAGGTATGAAAATCAATGTAATTTGAGGAGCGCGTGCACAGCGTATGACTGAATAGTTTCGCTGATTGCCTACCTAACATTGCTATACAGTGAAGCGTTACAAACGTAACATTTAACGCTTGATTACACGTTAAAAGCGCACATTTTTTAAATTCACAATCAACGAAGCATCAGCACAATCTTAAAAGCCGTCGTTTATGAGAAGCACACAACATCCATTTGTAGCCCCCGGGGGTGTTGGAAAAATTCAGGCTACTGTTTGAAAGAAAAATGTAAAAAGAACACAACAAAAAAAAAATAATAATAATAAATAAATAAACAGCAACAAAAACAACAGCAACACCAGTAAAAACTGCATCTTATGTATTCTCTTCTATATATATTATGGGTAATGGTGCGGTGATGATGTTTTGATCTGTTTTAAAGCTATAAACAAATATTTCTGTACAGGATTTCTATTCCTTTCAATGGCACGGCATTTGAAGAAAGCAGATGATAACGAACTTGGACAAAATATTTTCTTAATTTATTATTATAGGAGGAAGAATAAAGAGAAAAACCCGCTTTGTTGTACGCGATCTTTCGTTAATACTTTAACAAGCAAACAATTCTTCAAATATATTTCTACATATATATATATATATATATATATATATATAGACCTAAATAGTAACTATCATCGTCATGTTTGTCAACATATCTTGTTTAACGTTACAAATAACCGTTAAATTGTTGGCGAAAGAAAAACAGAAAATTATAACAAATTCTTTTATATTGCATTACATCGCATTCCACGTAAAACCGATAACATATTAAGCAGAGAAGAAGAAAAAAAAAATATCCTGACAGAAGCCGCAAATGGCGGAAAAGATTCAGAGAGTGCTTGTTGTAAAACAAGCTGACTTTTCTCTGTAGATATGTTAACATTCCTTAAGATAAAATGAAGTTATGTCTGCTTGTAATGATGATGAAAAGCGAGTGATACTGACAATGATAATGACGTCCATAACGATGGCAATGTTTGCAAAGTCCAAGCCCGTTGTTGTGCCTCTGTGTATGCGCACAGCTAACATTACCGTAGCAATATATTTCATGCAAAAAACAAAACAAAAAAAAAAAAAAAAAAAAAAACTAACAAAGATTTGATATTTAATTAAATTGAGAGGAAAATATTATCTGCACATAAGTATGTTATTCAATCAACAATTCCGATATTAATAAATAACAAACAATAACTTAAGCGTGAACGCCTCATCCACCATTTAATAAGATCTTATAAGCATGGCGGTGGAATCCGATAAATCACAATGCGCATCATTAATGAATCATCGGCGTAATGTTTCGCGTTGGTAATGCTTTAACATGTGCACACAAAAGGTTTAACTGAATAGAATGTTATTTCATGCAATAATATAATAAGATTTCATTTTAATCACATGCGATTTTTTAAAATTGCATTTCAAAACATTTCATGCTAGTATGTTAACGCACCTCGTTGCTGAGGATACAAGTTCTCATTTATTCTATGATTATCATCAAATTCGTTTAAACAAATGTCATGGTTCAGAGTTGGACTAAATTTTCAAAGCATCTGTGATTTTAAACAAATGCGAAAGCTTTATTCTTCCTATGGATATTCATCATGTAAAAAACACTAGTGATATGCCCAGACTTGAAATAGAGTGAAGGTTCAGATAAGCATTACTTTTTGTGAAATTTTTTTTTTTTTTTTGTTTTTGAGAAGAAACATATCCCCCCCCGAAATTGAAATAGAAAGTCGGAAAAAAAATTTTCTTAAATAATTCTGCAAGAAAGGAAAAAGGTTTCTTCCGTGGCTTCGAGCTCCTTTTTGTAGCAGTGATTGTGATTGATGTTTAGTGCCTCACCTATTCCTGACAGCTTACGTGCCGATCTTACTCCATCAGTTGCAAAGTTTCATCGACTTTTTTGAGCAGAGCGAGGTGCATCTTTGAATCGAGCAAACCACTCCTGGGTCCATCGTTCAATCATTCAGCATTCTCACTGGATACTGTTTTACCTCTTTTATGGCCTATTTCTTCAGATATTTCATCCATTTTCAAATTAATATAACATTTTCCATAAGCAAAGAATTAGAAAACTATTTTCACAAATAATGTAAGCTAAACTGTTACCCATGTCATCCCACGTCACATGCTCGTTTAAGACAATCAGGCATTAATACCATCCAAAAAACCGCAAAGACTTTTGATATGATCTAATATGATGACATTGCGATTCACATAACAACGGGTTTGTCGTCTACCCTAAGCCAGATCGATAAGCAAAGAATCAGAAGGGCAGTGCTTTCTCCAATCGTTACAATACGAAGCTTATAATTTTTCTTGTGAAGTGGCAGAGTGCATACCTGATGTATGTGAATAAACGAATGTGAAAGTTAAGAATCAATCGTTCAATATAGGATGTGAAATAGAAAACATGTGGAGTTTTTTTTTTTTTTTTGCGTAGATATATAATTACATAGGATATGTGTTTATAAACTATTTCCGCGACATATTTTGTTCTATGGAAGAGACCTTTGTAATCAAAAGAGAAATGAAATAAATTAGGAAAAAATTTTTGTATAACGTCACCGAAAATCTATGTAAGAAAGTTATGTTAGGCGTATGTCATATCTCGCATACTGGCCACTATGCTTTTCGAATTCTACTCTCCAAACGCGTTCGTTTGATACTCATAACGCCGGTAAGCCACCAAGTCGTGGTGTCCACCATATTTATTTTAGAATTAACCGATTTTTAGGCAGATCATATATGTTCAATTGAGGAATGCACAAAATAGTTTTAAACATATTACTGTTTTGTTTGCGTTGTGATAAGTAAACAAAAAACCTTAGAAAAGTGAAAAAAATTCAACTTTATCGCGTGTAACTTTGTGTGGACAATGTCGACTTTCGTCATTTTACATTTTTAACTTCTTGGCAGAAACATTTACTTTTTTGCAATTGCTTCTCATATCCATTTCAAGGTAGTTTTTATGGACCTTCACTAACATACGATTATTTCAAAAACCTCGTAAATGAAAAAATGAAAACATTTTGTGAAGATATCTGTAAATGTATTGGGGAAGTTGGGGATATCACTAGAGATGAGTTTAGATTGTACCTTCCCAGCAGAGGGTTATTTAAGGCAGGTAGGCTTTTCAGAATGCTATGCGAAGTGCTCAAAATTTCAAGCAAAACACGACTTTCATGTACTGAACGTTTTCCTTTATTTTCTAGAGGGTTCGAAAATAGCTAGGGGTAAGCTTAGTTGAGAAAATTTGCCTAGAGGCACTAAGTGGCAAATTGAAGAATCGTTTCAAGCAGTGAGGATACCTCCTCTTTGTCAATATGTTTGCAAAACCCAGAAGTCAACCTCAGAAGTCCTTCAGTATTAAAATCTAGATCGATATATGCATGCCGGTCTTATCTACTACGTATGCCAGCCAACTGTGTATCTTCACGTTCCTCCACTTCACATTTGGTGAAACTATTGCAAGCAGGCCAAATAGGTTAAATGGGGCAGAGTTTACGTTCACAGTAAATCAATTAACTATAAATAACTATAAATTGAGATCACCTTTACTTTCTCGAGTTTCCCTGCTCAGTGCTACTAAGCTTCAAGAGATGTAACCATAAAAACTTTCTCGTCGCTGCTATGGATAGTCCGCAGAAAATGGGAAAAGAAAATTAGCCATGCTCTTTACATACCATAGAGTTTCGATGTTCAATTTTTTTTTTTGTTTTTTTTTTAAAGTTGATAACGGCATAAAATACCCGGTCAGAAGCGAAAATATTTTTCGGACTTTTCTTACATTCAGTTAGTAACTGATCGTTCCAACTTGAGTGGAAGAAAAGCGCTTTGTGACGCCCCTAAGAGTGAGAAATCAAAATCATATATACTTGATTTTACTCTATATAGGAACAATTTCTCCAAGAGACAATGTATGTTCGACAATCTGCGGCTGTAGTTTTTCTAACATTGGTTCGCTCACTATATTTGGCGGTTCTAACATTAGCGTCTAGTCCATAGATATCATATACCCATCCCCACTGTTGT